ATTTAAGTGTCAGAATTTATATGTATTGACTCAAAACTGGTAACCGTGGGAGACATTCAGTTTGGTGATTATGAGTTTGAAATTGAACCCTCTTTATGAACCATCTTATCTAAATGTTCAGTTATCAGTGAGGTTAATATGTCCCCAGCATTATACTGAGACATGCTGACTTACTGTTATTCATTCTTGTTCACAATGATGAAATCCTCAGCAGCTGTGCAAGTATAGATATTGGTTTTTGCTGTGCTTACAATTGACCTTTTTCCAGTATCACTTGTTACTGTCATAACTGTATAAATCAATCATTGGCTTATTCTGTTCTGGGCTGAAAGTATTCTGTGAAGGAATTCATTTTATGCAATTTGCCACCTCTGCATAATACTGTAAGCCATCTTATTCTAAGTCACCTGTTTGGTGAAAAGTATAGATTTCTGCTACAAACTATAGTGTTTGAGTTTACCTCCAAACAATCTGAAAACATATATTTTTATTCAAATAAAAGAATGCTGAATTTTTGTTCATATCAACAAGCTATTCACAAAGTTAAAATGTTTGAGCTGGGGTCTTTTCACTGCATTTCTGGAGGTCACTCTGTATGTATACTATCCAAATGCAATGGGAAAAAGTACTGTGCATATTGGTTGCTTTATGTATGCCTGTTCCCAAAGATGTACAGAGATCAGAACAGCCTAACATTATGGCAGGCTTTAAGAAGCCTGGACTCTGTGTTTAACCCATTGTTGTTCAAAGCTGCTTACTTTAAGGAAACTTCCACTTTCCCCTATATTGGGTTCACAAGAACGAGATGAAAGTTTGAACAGTTTTGAATGGGTTTTAGAACATTAAAAACAGTTTTTCACAAAGAATATAGAAAGAATATAGAATATAATCCTTTGCAAATCAAAAAGCAAAATAAAATGATTCTTTCATCACTGTAAAATATTTCAGTCCACTTTTAAAAGATCCATATAATGTGGTACTTGCTTAATTAAAATGTGTTCTTAAAAAGAAAGAAAGGGAGGAAAAAAAGATGTCTCAATACTGTGTACAAAAAAAATCAGTTTGGTGTCAATTAATTCTGGTTAGATTTCATTGGTGACAATATTCTAGATTTTGAACTTGAGGATCAAATGCAGTTTCCGATTTCTTAAGATGAATGACAGCCCTTTAAGCTTCACGGCAGGTGTTATCATTAAATGCTAATGGGTTAGAAGTCATATTTCTCTCACACTGCTTATTTGTATGTAACTGTCAATTGCGTATTTTTACAAAGTGTCCAACATTCTGCTACAAAAATGGCAGTATTGTGTAATGTGATTTAGTCTTTTTAATGCCGTCCGTCATGTAGCAGCTCAAAAACTGTACAATTATTTCCTTTAACAATTGAAAGTTAAAGTTTTAATGATAAATGCAAGGTTTTATTTAAACCTCCCTGATTCACATCCTTGGTTTATAATCCAGTACCTAAGTCTAAAGCTCTGCATAGGGCTGAAAATAAAGTGTTGATGTATTTCTACTATTCATTACCACTTCAATTAAGTATGTTAAACTTCGTTACAGTTTGGGAATAGGTTCCATGGTATATTTGTTTTTAAAAATATTCTAGTCTCTGATGTTTTGTTGACAGGAAAATCGAATCTGTCTATGGCATGGGTGTCAGAATGGTTCCAGAGAGGACCATTTGGCTGCAGGTTTTCTTTCCAACCAAGCAATGGCACATCAGACTCCATTCATCTCATCAAGTCATCATGTTCAGATTAGACTCACTTATTAAGATGACTGGAGTCTGATGTGCCATTGCTTGGTTGGAAAGAAAACCTGCAGCCACACTGCCCTTTCTGGAACCAGTTTGACAACCCTGGTCTATGGGGAAGCCCTGATACATGCAAAGCATAGCTAAAACCAGTCGAAATTAATGTGCATGTGGTACTCCCTCAACATTATGGTTGCTGATCAATGTAAAACCCACAGAAGTCAAAGATATCAGCTACAACAGTGGCAGATTGCAGATTATCTACTTGTGCTGCTGACTTTTGAAACCAGTGATGGTTTTATAACAAACTAGGGGAACCGTTCTCTCCAGTTTGATAAGCATGAAGTGTGTGCACATTTAAGTAAATTAGTAAATAAAGAACACACCTCCAGCTAGGGATGGGCTGGGGAATTACACCACTTTCATTGCTCAGCTGTTGCTATGTATAAGGAGATTGTAATTGAAATGTCATGTTGACATGTTAACAGAGAAAAAAAAAGAGTTTTTCAATTAATTGCTGTCACACGAGGGTCTTATTAAAGGGCCTCATTCTGCCAGGGAAAAGTCACTTAATAGCAGCAATTTGATGTACTGCAAAGAGGACTTTATCTTGACATTTCTTCAGGCTGTGTGACCAGTCTGGCAGCTATAGATTAACTTTTAAGTACTTTGTTTTGCATTTGGAAGTTTTTTAAAAAAGGAAAAGACATCCTGAAAAGGAAACATGAATAACTTTTGGTAATTTATAAACCAAACAAAGTAAACATATTAGTTTAAGATTTGGAAAATCAACTGTATACTGCTGGTGAGCGCTGCAGTAAAGCTTAGAGACTCTGCAGAAATTTCTGTATATGATATGACTTCACAAAAGCACATATACATGTTATAATGGGCAGCTGGTGCTTACAGTGTTTCTTGTTTATGTAGAACAAGAAAAATAAAACTCCAGACTGTCATTCCCTAGGCAGTTTCACCACATTTCACATATGGAGTATTTTAATTTAGCACGTCAAAAGTTCCTTTATCTACTCATTAGTGATTGGTCCAAAATAAACATACTGAATTCTTCACTGAAGTTCTCCTTAAAAATTTAGAAGAGATTCCTGCTCTCTTCTACTTAAGTGTTTGAGATGACATCTGCATTAAGCATCAGAAAAAAACAGAGAGCAGCTGAGGTGTATGAATTATGCAATGTTTTTTTCACACATTGCATTTTGTTTCTCAAGTTTAAGAAAAACAAATGTTTCCCTTTTAAACACCGATAAGCTGTCACAGACCATTTAAGATGCTGTTTTTCTCTGAAAACCTAGTGCATTTTTGATTCATGATGGCAGTTGAATGTAATTCCTTAAGATTACATCATCTTCAGAACAATATTTAATCTGAAAATATTGTTCTTTCCAATAACCAATCTAATTGGATATAATCACATTCATGGAGAATCTAGCCAATCTGCAGAGACCAAATTTACAAACTATGTTCAAATGATGTATTGCTTAAATTTTGCAATCAGATACAAATTAAACAAATGTGTTTTGTTCATGCCCTGAATGTATTAAATTAAAAGGGGTGATGGTTTAATTTCATATTGTGGTTATGTAGATAAAATCTAATGTAAAGCCAGAAAATATATTTTTAAGATTTCACATAGGCTATGTTCTGGGAACTGAACATGGAAAGATCTACTACAGTTTAAACATTCCAGTCACTAACTTTCTGATAATTAGAGGTATTGAAATTTACACATATGCATCTTGTTAAATTGGGGGAAAAAAAAGGCTGTATTCTATTTTTCAAACCAAACTAAAAACTAACATTCATTTGAAATATTAACAGTGATGGTAACCAACTCCTGAACCACAGATGTGAACGGTTTCCTATAAAGGCTGACAGAAAGAGGACTTGGCTCATCCTCAGAGCTCTACGGTAATTGCTTTAGAATGGGAAGGCCAAAAAAAGTTGCTCTAGGTGATGTCTGACTAGGCAATGAGGATTTGAAAAAAACAAATCAATTAGACATCCAGCAGCCAAAATGAAATAGGAATAAATGATGTGATGTGAATACCCCAAATGAGGAATAATAAAGAACATTTACATAGGATTCCATTTTTTATAGTTAGGTCACCATCAGTTTGTGTTAACATTACGTATTTTTCTTATAAATTTTGGAAGGCTATAAATATTTCACAATTTTAATATGTCCAAATCATTACTTATCTTTCATAACCATTAAAATATATTTTAATTATATGTTTTTAAAGCTACCTGCAACTGCAGGTAGTTTAATGCTTGCTTGCTGTCTTAGTATCTTCAAAAGACATAAAACTAACTAAATTAAACATATTGTCCTTTGTGATTCTAGCCTATAACTATGTGTAAAGAATCAAGAAAACTTTCATATACTGTTATCTACTGATGCAGTTCTTAAAGTGATAAAATACTGTCTGTAAAAAAAAAAAAAATATATTATTTCTGCAGACGTTTAGGTGGGAGTAATTCAATTTAGTTCCGTTTAATTCAAAATAGGAAAAAAAAAAAAAAAACATTTATTAATCCCAAAAGGAACATAAATGTAAACTGTTATTTTCTATTTACTTATTTATTTTTTTATAAGCTGTTATATAGAGAGCTTTAGGAAGGGAGCATATTCTGTTGTTGTCTGTCTGGCAGCGGATCTGGAGAAGTTTTTGGCTGAAGTCACCCTGCAGTTGTGTGGGTGTCTTCTGCCTATAATGTTCTTCATTTAATACAGAGTTTTTCTTGTGAAATAGTCTACAGAGGTTCTAGTGAAGTTCTTAATTATGTGGGCAGGAGGAAGTCAAATTATTAATGTCACAAAGAACCTATATAAACATATATGTTTTAATATAGGTTTTGATATAGGTTTTAAATATATGTGACATATATAAAATTGGCCGTTTTCCTATATTATATGTACATATATATACATATATGTGCATATATGAAATAGCACATATATGTACATATATAAAATTGGCCGTTTTCCTATATTATATGTAAATATATGTACATATATGTGTGTACCTATATCCGTGCATACATGTACCTATATGTGTAGATCACGTGCATACATGTACCTATATGTGTAGATCATGTGCATACATGTAGCTATATCCGCTGATACGTTTACCTATATCAATCCACACATATATGCACTTGTTTACCTATGTATTAGCAAAATTATAAAAATCCATAGCTACTAGGCAACATAAATAATAGCCCAAAATGCAGAAATTTAACATTATTTATTAACTTAAGAACAATCAAAGTACAAGAACAAAAAAAGTAACAGAAATACCCCCCAAGAAATTATATTGTAGATCTTCTCAGCTCTGTGAGCTTTGAATTAATAGATGTGCCTAGCTGCCCTCGGCTGACTGCTGGCCACTTCTTCAATGTAGCATCTAGAGAAGACCAAAAAAATTATATTAAAATACCACTTCATCAAATTCATTCAAACCCAAAGTGCTTACTGCTTGCTGCAATTGGACACATATTTTGGATAAAGGGCTCACCATGATAAAAAATATGTCATGTAAACATGTCAATTGAAAGATTCTGATTGGACTCTAAATTTAAATTGAATTCAGATTGGAAACATCACATGCTATTATTCTGAATAAGGCTTGATGCCTATGCACTTTGGATTATTTGTTAACATGTAAAGTGATTCAGAGTTTCTAATCCCTCAAATTTTTAATCTGATGTAAGAAACTTTACACATGTAAACATATATCGTTGTCAATATACTGCACTTTTGTAGAATTTTTCCTGCACCCAACCGTACCCAAAATACTTTACAATGGCCTCCCATTGACCCACTCCACTGGCGAGCTGCCATGATAGGTTTACTCAAAGAGAAATAAGGCACGCATTAAAATCAAGCAAATCCATTACCGGTAAAGACAAACTAAGGCACAAACACAGGACAGAATGGTTTAAGGGTGAAGGAGGGGTGAATATGATTTTTTATTAACCCTTCAGACGACAACATGCAATGGAGTTATTTGCAACACTATATGTCCTACAAAATAGAGGACAACACACCTTACAGTGCAATACCCCAGAAATGTGGCTTAAGAAGACAAAAGGTAGGATCAAGAAGTGAGCAAACGATGAATTAGTATTATAGGTGCTAAGCAGGTACAGTAAAAATAATGGGTGCCTTACCTTATACAGTCTATGTTGATGCCTAATAAACATTGATACAAGTATGCTATGGTTAAAGTGGTGAAATAAAGTCTTTAAAGTTTTGTTTTCCCTTGTCAACGCATTATGCATTTACTCACCATTAATGGCTGCCTTTTTAATTTGGTCAAGGGCGACCAGCTGCTCCCCATCCCCTCTGGTTGGCTTCCCACCTTAAAATAATATTTCAAAATGAAGGTGGGGAAAGTAAGAGTTTTTGTTTTTTAATATACACATCACGTTTTCTTGAGGTATTAAACATAACAGTAATAATTTATTCCACAGACTATGACTAACTTTTTTTCCAAGACAGAAGAGATTAGGAACATTTTATTTTGTACCATTTAGGTTGCTTTTCAGCAAAGTCTCCAGGTCAAAGGTGCCCAGCAGCAGATTCCGCACCATGGCAGTAGCAGAGGTGGCAAGGCGGGCTGCTTTCCATGCTTCTGCCCAGCAAAACACTCCAGAGCCCTTTATAACTTCAATCTAAAAAAATAATTTCAAATCACAATATTCATTTATTGGCAACTTTTAGAAACCTTTTGATGTTTCATATTGATTCTTATGCTTAGTTTCCCAATAGTAATTAGGTTTTATAAATGCAGATTAATGATAAAGATATGAATCAAAATAATCATTGCCCTAAACTTATAACACTAATTGGCTACTACAAAGCACATAATATGTATTACTACATAATATGTTATTCACCTGTGTTTTTGCTGAGGTCTCAGCTCTTGATGCAGTCTTGTTTGAGAAGAAAAACATTGTTAAATTCAACAATTGTAAAACTTCAACAACTTTATGCATGTGGGGCAAGTAAATTATATATTACCACTAACTATCCCAACATAAAAATCCTTATAGCTCAGTTGGAGCCTTAAGTAAAATAAGTACAGAAAAATCTGAGGTATAAAAGGGTTACACACACCTGGGATGTTTCTCCAACGAGCTCAGTCACCATATGACTCTTTTTAAAGGGCTCGGTCTCCTCTGTGCTCAATCTCCTTTCTGGAATCTTAGAGAAGAAAGAAACATACTGTATTTTCCAGACTATAAGTTGCAGTTTTTTTTCATAGTATGGCCGGGGGTGCGACTTGTACCCCGGAGCGACTTATAGTCCGGAAAATACGGTAGTAAAACTCTACAACAATTTTTATTCATCCAAGGAAGCCAATAGATTCTTATTTACGGGCTTGAAAAACATTAAACATGTCAATAAATTAAAGTTACATGCAAAAGTAATCAGCGAAAAATAATCAAATCCATACAGTTGTTTAAGTAACCAGTACACTAAATAAATAAATAAAAATGCGAGGGGGTTACCCACCGGTTGCACAAAAGTCAAGGAGGAATCAAGATCTTCCACAGGAGTCCTTCCAGTCTTGTCCATAAAAGAAAAATAAAGTTAGTCACTTCAATACATTAAAGTGCAAATACATGAAATAATTAACACTATAAATTAGCTCAACATCACAATTCTCTACAGCTCTGCCTGAGAAACAATTTTAAAAAAACAATGACAATCAGAAGAAATTACCTTTTGAGCAATAATGGAGAGGTCACTCTGAATTTGAGGGATATCTAGAATGAAGTTATACCAAGAATAAATGACAATCCTCAAATCAAAATAGCACCCAGCACGTGCGAGGGCCCGTCCATCACTGCTTGTGATCACTACCTCAACCAGCTAACAACATAGCATTTATTTTTCAAAACATGTGTTTCAGCCTATAAAATTTCTAAGTTTATACTTCTCTGCCACGAAAAAATCCATCTCCTGAAAAAACCCTGCTAATAATAATAAAATTAGAAAAACTTACGATTGATGATAATGTCTTTCAGACGTTCATTTTCCTTTTTAAGAGTTTGGAGTTCATTCCTCAACTCCTGCAAATTTCTTTGCATTTGGTCGAATTTTCTTTTCTCCCACATCTGTTCGTCCAGGTGTTTTCTAACTTCAGCAGCTGTCTACGGAAAAGAGACAGAGAAAAGAACAAAATTTAATTGTTCTATAACTTCATTTCTAAAATGGATGGTTGATTCTAGGGCTGAACGATATTCACAAGCCCCCAGAGCAAACTGAGGACCACTGCGAGCAACATGTGCACGCTGTCGCCACACACACACACACACACACACACACACACACACACACACACACACACACACACACACACACACACACACACTTTGTTATCTTTAACTTTAGCTTTGTGTGTGGGTTGTGTCTATAACCTCTATGATCTATTATAACATCTATAACGGCGGATAACTCCGCTGTGTTGTTGTTAGCTGTAGCTAACCTGCTCGGCACGTACGGGAAGGGCACATACACAAGTACTATCAATGCTATGATTAGTTACGTAGCATAAATAGACCGTATCATTGGCTGGACACCTGTCACTCACTGTTACGTTGAAAAACGGTTCTGAAAAGCACATTTTTAGTGTCATTTCTTTGATTAGACTAGGTCTAAATTAAATATTAATTTATGCGTCTATGGTGAATGACATTTTATGTGCTACATAGTTATACTTGTGCACTGAGAATGTGCGAGCAGTGCACGCAGGCGCGCAGCTTAGAGGAACATTGTTTGGGACCATTTCGGCTACAAAAAGGAGGATGTTCACCAAAAAGAGGTAACGTTACTTTGCTTGGAGTTTTTGGGAAACGCTGACAATATGTATGAACACCTAAAACGGCAATTATGATGATGGCCAACAGTGTTTTACTTTTGCACTGTAATGAAGCTTGCTTATTAATTAAATTATTAATATCACAGAATGGTAATTATTGACTTTAGCCTGAATTGATATGGCTCACAATATCGCAATATGTATCATTGGGGAGAAAATATTGCAATGCATTTATTTTCCCAATATCGTGCAGCCCTTGTTTGTTCTGATTGGCTGGGAGGATGTCTAGGAGTCTAGGGCATAAACCTCTCCCCTCGGCTATATGTAACTGGTTGTCAGGCCTCCTTGTGCTTATTCCTTACTTAAAACACAATTTGAAATTTCCACATCTTGTATTTTATGTAATGTATGTATGTAATACACCTATCAATGGATGTCATCATTTAGGCTACCTTTTTCTTAGAGGGTGGTATTATGTCCTCTTCGTCCCAAATACACTCTTTCTCTTCGCTGGCCCGCTGGTAGGCAAAGAGAAAGAGAGAGAGAGGGGACAAAGTTGCCTACTGGGCTGATGTCATACCTGGTACAGCTACTGGTAAAGCACTTTATTATAAAAGTCTTACTTATCTTTACTGTATTGCAATGTAATAACTCACACTGGTTGCAGACTGCTAGTGTACCTTGTTCTTTGAAGAGCTGTAATCAAGCGGCTCCTCCTCCACACCCTCCTCCTCTTCCTCCTCCTCCTCCTCCTCCTCCTCCGCCACCTTCTCCTGCTTCTCGGGACAAAGGGGAAAAATTTCCCTATTGTGCTGCTTTCATACCTTATAACAGCTGCTGTTTTGTAATGAAACAAAACACACAGGATGCAGACTGGTTGTGTACCTTGTTCTTTGAAAGTATGTCATGACCCTCCTGCTTCTCACCCTCCTGGTGCTTTGATTTGGAAGCCCCTCCCTTTTGATTGTCAACCTTGAGTGACAGAGAGACGGACTGACTTTTATCCCAACTCTTATGTTAACTTATGTTACATGACCTTGCACTTGATCATCTTGTCAACAAAGCATATGAAATCATCATAGATAAGACAATTACAAACCTACACACATGCATACACATTAAGGAACAAGAGAGAGAGGGGGAGATAACTTTAAGCATAGCACCAATTGGTGAAGTCAGTTTATGTTACCTTTTTCTTTGAAGCCTTCTCAGTTAGCCCCTGCTGGTCACTGTACTTAGAATTTGGGATGTGAGGACGTTTTGTTTGCCCTTGTGTGTCTTCTTTCTCCATCTCGATCTCACGCAGTTTGATTTTGAGAGTTTTTTCAAATTCTGGTGCAAAGAATAGAAACGTTTTCATGAACTGCAAACGTGTCTAATCAGTTTAACGTTACCAAATCAAACATTAAAAAGTACTTCTTGACTACTTTTCTAAAATCGACCAACTTGGAAAAAAATGCATTAGTGACCTTTTTTTCAGAAAATGTGGCATTAAGATCGGGATTGCGCTGGTGAAGATATTTTTTTGGACTAAAACGTGCCCCGCGGCGACCGCTAGGCGGAAAATCCACATCTAGGTCACGTGGTACGATGACATAGTTCGTTGACTTAGCTCCGGCTAAGCTACATAGAGTGCAATGGAGGACACAATGACAAGTTCACATGTGGATTCACAAAGTGATGATTTTAACATGAAATACAGCGCAAGCTTCTGTTACGATTCGACTATATAATACTAAAACATATTTAAGAAGATTAAACGAAATGGGCTGGAATCGGGCTTTATAATCGTGGTTCTGCCAGACAGTTTCTCAGGTAGCTCATCTGATGCTTTCCTTACCTTGTTAGTAGGTTACAGACAGTGATAAGGTTGGCTACTTATTTTACTTTTAATTTCATTTGAATTAGCTTAAGCAGCGTTTATATTTTCTTTATAAATAAATTAACTTGCAAATTATGAGGGCAAGGCTTTTAAAGTTTAAATCTTCTGGCAAACATAAAGAAGATCCTGCAATTTATGGAAGTAAAGCAGAATAAAATCCAGCAAGATCAGTAATATGTCAATTAATTATCTGCCACATTCCCATGTAAATATCTGTCTTTGGAGGATGTGTTTTTTAGCACCCCTAGTTCTCTCATTTTTATTCCAAATACAATTTATAATTTGAACCACAGGGCTATTTTCATCTCTATGGTTCAGTATTTTCTCAAGTAGCAACTTTAACTGCTATACTTTCCTGTCTTAAAAGGCAGAACTCTTCTAGTCTAAAAAAAACTCATTCGTTGAAATGGGGGGGCCTATTGTTTGAACCCCTTAGGGGCTTTTAAAAACAAAAATGTCTCTTTTTGCGCTTTATGAAACAAAGTAGCCTATATTTTGTGGATGTACAGCTACATTTCTCATGTAAGTTTGCGTAGTTTTAACACAAACATTTATTTTTCATATTGCACCAGTACAGTTAATGAGCAACATGTACTTGTGTGCTTGTTTGTTCTGTCTAAAATGTTTATTTTGGAATAAAGAGGTTAATATAAAAAATATTTTTTGTCCGATTCATCGATTAATCGAAAAAATAATCGGCCGATTCATCGATTTTTAAAATAATCGTTAGTTGCAGCCCTAATTTTAACCATGTTTTATTCGTCTATTTTTGTTTAAGAAAAGGGAGTTTTGCAAGTAGGAAGTAACGTGTTGCCATGTAAACAGATCAACGCTTGTCAACGAACTACGTCATCGGTCACGTGACACGGCGGCGAAATTTTTTAAGGAGGCTTGAGCTAAAAAGCCTAAAAAATCCAATTTGTCATCGAAATTTTTTATTTTTTTTTTACTCAGGTCATATTGATATATGAACTTTCTAATATATAGCAACTTGTATGATCTCAGAATCAAGAAGTACTTTAACTCCCAACTGGACTAAGCTAACATTAGCAAATTAAGTAATGTTAATGTTAGCTCACATGAGCCTTGCAAGCCGGCATAGCAAGATCCATTTTACACTTTTTCAAGTGCGAGCAAAGCCATTTAATATTGTATCGTTATATAACGTTAACTACATAACATCAGATGAAGTTAGCTTAACTTACTTGCCACTTCAATAATTCTGGCTCGGTGCACCGGCCACGGTTGGCTGCCTTTTCTCCATTCCACCAGCTTCTCAGTTTTTTCCTTCCTCTTAAGAAATTCTTTAAATGAAAAATTTCGGACACAGTCGATGGGCAAAATACTATGCGCCCCTCCGTCCTCACCCTCAGTCCATTCTAGTAGAACATAACGGAGGTCCCCTGCTGATATCGCCATTATTGCGCCCAACCGCTATCTTTCCGCGCAAAATCAGATGAAGTGGATGATGACGTCATGAAACTACGTGAAGCCGTAGCGGTCAATCTTTATAGGGGCGATTCTCTGAATTGGGCCCTTTGGGCCTCATTCTTTTTTTTTTTTTTTTTTTATCAAATAGTTATATTTCTGATCTTTTCATGTGATAGTGGATTAGTCAAACCTTTTAGAAAATATGTTTTCCCACCTCAGGCATGAAATTCTAATCGTTATTTTGTGTTTTTTCTTAGTGAAAATTGTTTTTGAGTTCAACCCCGTCACAGACAAGTTGGACCCTGTGTGAATATGAATTTAAAAGATTTTCAAGTAAATTCATGTAGAAGGTTTTTAATGACATGTCCCTTGTTTGATATAATTTATTGCATGTAGAATTTTATTTTTAAATACCCACCATTTGAATACCAAATCAGGTCATGAAAACAGTATCTAACATTGGTCTTCATATATTTTCAAAAAATATGAATTAAAAATATCCATTAGGATTTAATCAGGCTTTCATGTTTTTTCCAACTGTCCTGTAAATTCTACACACAGCAAAACAAACATTGATCTAATTTGTCTTTTTATAACAAAAATATTAATTAAAAACTATCAAATAACAGGGTTGAACTCAGCATAACAGGGTTGAAAATGATAACAGGGTTGAAGTAATGATCATAATATCAATATAGTTTGGATTTTTTCCCCCTGTAAAATGAAAGATATCACATTATTTGATTAAATGTTTTAAAAACAAACATTTTGTATATAACCATCCATCCATCCATTCTCATCCATTTATCCATAATCGCAGGGGGCAGCAGGTCCAGCAGGGGACCTTAAACTTCCCTTTCCCAAGCCACACCAACCAGCTCTGACTGGGGGATCCCGGGGGGTTGCCATGCCAGTGTCGAGATGTAGTGCCCCTGAGCTAAAATGAGTTTGACAGCCCTGGGCTTAAGGATACGCAGACAGCAGTTGTACAGTACCTGAAAAATATAGGGATATATAATAGTATAGGTATGCACCTTCAAAAGTTATGGTTGCAAACTGCCATAAAACGTAAAGAAGAAGAAGAAGAAGAAGGTAGCATCAGAAGAAGGTAGCAGCACAAGAAGGTAGCAGCAAGCTGATTGGGGAGCAAGCTGTCAGTCTTTGAAGAGAATGTATTATGCAGTGATTAGGTCAAACATAGATTATGGTAGTATAGTTTATAGCTCTGCGAATAAAACCTTACTTAATAAGATAGAAGTTATACAAAATCAGGCATTCAAAATAAAAATTGCAAAAAGAATATCTAATCATGTGTCAGTATTTACAACTGAAGTATTAGCTATCATATTAGCACTACAGTGGATCGAAGAAGTTCAACCACTAAGAACTGTAATATGTACAGACTCAATGGCTACGCTAAATAGTCTTCTAAGTGGAAAATCTGAAACTAGGCAATATTTAATATTTGAAGTATTGCAAAGTCTATTTAGAATACGGCAATTAAGAATACTAGTATACTTTCTCTAGGTGCCAGCACATGTGGGTGTAGATGGAAATGAGAAAGCGGACAAGCTTGCAAAGAAAGCATTAAATCATCAGCAAATAGAAATGAATGTATTTTTAAGTAAATCAGAAATTAAAATATTGATAACAATTGAAACTCGAAAGAAATGGCAAACGATATGGAATAATGAGTCAAAATGAAGACATTTATATCAGATTCAAAAGTTGGAAAGGAGAGGAAAAGATATGGAAATAGGAAAAAAGATATAATTATCAAGGCTAAGAATAGGTCACACAGCATTAAACTACAGTCTTTTTAAAATAGGGAAACATGAAACAGGAAATTGTGATAAATGTGGAGATCCAGAAACAGTACAACATATTATTTTTGAGTGTACTGCATAGAGAATGAAGTTCATAGGGATTAATGGGAATTCAATAAAAGCACTGTTAGGAAACGAGATAAGACAAACAAGAGTTAATGAAATATTATTCAAATATCTAAAAGATACAGGAACAATAGGATTCTTTTTTTTTTTCTTTTTTTCTTTTGGGTATAGCGCAGTCTTCCAAAATTGTGCACTCCACACTCCAGATCAGTAGGTGGCGGAAATGCGCTTTTTACGTTGGCCTGCCAATCCGCCATAAAACAACAGAAGAAGAAGAAGAAGAAGAAGAAGAAGAAGAAGGTAGCAGCAGAGCGTAGAAATGCCTGCAAGTATAACGGTAAATAACGTAAAGGAAATAAGACGCCTTTAAAGAAAAGTAGTACATATGGATCCATTACGTTACAAAAGGTACCTCGTTGACGACGAAGCACCTGTTCCAGAAAGAACAGAGAGAAGACGTAAACGAAAGTAAGTATTGACAAAACGTGCTAGAAGCTAGCTTGCTAAGTTAAAGAGCTAATTACCAGCTAAAGTTACAGATCATTTCTTATACTATTTAAACGTATGTGGCATAATTTCCAAATTAATTGTAAAACATTTATAGTTTTAATCAATCAGCCATTTGAATCCTATTATATTGAGTGATGCATGAAGTGTTTTAACATTAACACAACTTTTTTGTTAGGCACTTTTCTGAAGATATTGGTGATGATGAAGAAGCTGTGGCCTCTTCTTCTACAACTCCGTAAGTAGAAAACACGCACACACATTAGGGGTGGGAATCTCTGGGCATTTACGATTCTGACGACTGCGATTCGATTATAAGACGATTATCAATGCATCTTGATGAATACATTTTTTCCAATACAGAATTTTATCAGCGACTGCGTTGTACTTTTAAAGCAAAATATTTGTAATGATTCACGATTAATTTACTCCCAATAATATTTATTTATACAACAATTGGAAGCATTTTAGCAAGTCAAATCAGATAAAAAATAAAATTTTGTTGAGCCAAAAATCATACAAAGCTTTTGTACTGCTTTCATACAAGCATGTGACATTCTGAATAACTTATTAATTGCACTTAAATTAAATAAATAATATAAATTGCACATATGCAATAATAAATAAGAGTCTATAACGTCTGATTTTAGAATATATAACATATGAATTGCTCAGATAAAAACCCTGGTTTTCAACAACCGAGTAAGGACGCAAATCCCTGGCACTAAATATTGCAATCGAATGTGTAATTCTCTTAGCCTTTTCTTCCTCCGGGTGGAAGCTTTGACATCGCTTGCTTCATTGTTGTCTGGTTCGCAGCTAACGTTACAACCGGCAGCTTTTTTCTTCTTCCGGGAGGTAGTTTGACACAACTTGCGTACAGCATAGCTCTTGTCCAACTAACGCTTCGCTTGGTTTTCATAGAATCCAAAGTGCTTCCATACAGTTGCTTTTAATCCCGAGGGAGCAGGTCGAACTTCCTGCTGAGCCATCTCTCGTGTGGTGAGTGTGTGCATGCAGACCGTCCGGGTTCTGCAGTCGCGCACTTACGAGTTCCGTCTTTTGCGTTCTGTCAGCATTACGTTAGAAAGAAAATTATATAATCGATGCTTGATGTTTAATCGATTCAGAATCTTGCATGTCCGAATTGCGATGCATCTAATAATCTTTTTTCCCCCCAACCCCTAACACATGTAGCCATAACTTTACATATTTCATTTTTATGTATTTTTATTTTAGGAATCTCACCCGAGAGGACAGTCAGGATGACCTGGTGTCTACAGCTTCTGATGACATAGTAAGTTACAAAAAATAGCAAAAATATTCAAATTAGGTATTTTTTTTGTTTGTTTTTGTTTTTGTGTATGCACACTAGTTACTGTAAATCATCATAAGATAATTCCACAACACAAACTTCCACCTCGCTTAAAGTGGAGTACAAATTGAAAATTAGGGATGCACGACATTATTGGAACGACATCGGTTTCGGCCGATAAAAGCTTAAAATGACCATCATCGGCATCGGCAGATATGAACATTTCTCCCGATAAGTCTGGCCGATAAGGTCACGTGTTGACTGTACGCACATGATGACCGAAATGTATTACAAATTAAAGAGCTTAATGACAAAATCATTGAATGAATTGCTATTGGCAACTAGCCGTTTAGCGAGGTGGAAGGCGTTAGCTTCCACAGGCTAATGATGTATCTATAGCTATGGTATGTTACTGATATAATGTTACCTATTCGGCGCTACTTTTCTGAACTCCAGTGTTGTTGCCAATCACATTGAGAAGCTCCTCTCCGACGCTAGTCATATTAGATTCATATTAGTCATGTCTTGTTTTGCCTGTCAAGACCTCCCTCTTAAAAAAGCTGCTCTCACGAATGCTACAGCTCTCACACAGCAACTGCATTTGTATCCGTGTTTCACAGTTTTTTTGGAAGATGGAAAATAATGGGAGCGAGTGCTTGTCGTTTTACGCGAAAATGCCCGTAACATGGCTAAATCTAAGCGGCTTTCACACCGCAGCTGGCCGTGCACGGCACTTCTTTTTCTTCTTCCTCTTCTTCTTCTTTGTGAGTTTGTTGCATTAAAAATGTTTAATTACCGCCACCTACTTTACCATTATATAACAAAACAAACCAGCTGGGGTTTTTCAGCCTGTCTATGCTTTAAGCACATCCTAAGGACTGCAGTCTGGACTACATTATACAACTCACTGTTGTTACAGTTTGCAGCTCAAAAAATATATATACAGTAGAACTTAGTTGTAAATGTTTTACATAAAAATTAAATGTAACACTGATAAATAATTTACTTATTTTGCAGAGGTGAATGGCTATATTTACATTTGTGAAATAATTGATTTATTTTTTTAGAATCGAATGCTTGTTTAATATGTATCTACAACAAATGAGTAATAGTATACAAGCAGAAAATGAGAGACTGGGCTTCCTCTTGAATGAAATAAAAAGAGGTGTAAATATCGACATCGGCCAAAAAGAGTTTGAACATATCGACTATCGGCCAAAATCCAATATCGTGCATCCCTATTGAAAATACCATATTACTTTGTCCTTTCCCTATTGCAGCGATACCCATGTTTTTGTCTTTGTTCTGCATTATCACTCTCAATTGGCCATATACAAAACTTCAAATGCAGGTGGTTACCAACCACATGAA